ATATGCCGTCGAGTCGGACCCGACTCATAGCGACCCCTCCTTGGGTTTCCGAGGCAGTATCATTAAGGAAGTAGATTGCCCCATCTTCCTTCCGAGAAGTGGCTGGTGGGTTTGAACCGCCTATGTTAATTAATGTAATTTCTTCTCAGCCAGTAGTTGAAGAAGAGATGCAAAGTAAAATTCAAAATAAAACATTATTCCTGTGTTTATGATTGTGTGCAATATACATTAATGTGGAGAGAGCCTAATAAGTCACTTCATGAGGAAATCTCTAAATTTAATTCAAGAGTTATAACTCATATGTAGACCTGGTTTGGGGAATAGAATCCTCTCTTTTTAGTTGGAGCCATGGCTTTGGAAATAAAGACTGCATTTACCAATTTGGAGTGACCATGTGACTACGTTTTGGCCAATTTGATATCTAGGAAAGTCTCCTTGAAGAGTATGTTGAGGGAGTCCCTCCCTCCCAACTTTTCTTCTTCCCATATACTGAAATGTGCATGTGATAGCTTGAGCCACCTTGGACCATGAAGTGGGAGCCACAGGTTGAGGGACATCAAGAGAAGGAGCCCAGGTTCTAAATGATTATGAAGGTGCTCATCTTTGTTGATCTCTGGACTTTGTTGATATGAGAAAAATGAACTTCAATCTTGTTTAAGCCACTGTTGAGAGAGAGAGGAAATAAATTGCCTCAAAAAAAGACAGAAAGAAAAAAAGAGAGGTATGAACACTCATGTATTTCTGTAAAATAACAGTTTTGCTTGGGCATATTTATTAAGAAATTAAAATATATTTAAAAGAAATATGTAACACTTACCACATATATTAGCATATAGGGACCACACAAAGGTAATAGTGGTTATATTTCCTGTAATACAACTACAGGATGAAGAATACCCACTAATGACAACATTTTTGTGTTCTAAGTACTTAGATCAGTTTCTGGCTTATAGTAAAAAAGATATTAATTGAATGAATGAGTCAACCAATCAATTGATAAATGTATAGGGACCTTTCCTTATGGACATGCTGTTCCTCTCTATTATCACATGTAGAATCAACAGAAGAATTATAGATTGTGGTGCTTTCTCACTCTTCAGTTATCGATCTCCACTGGGATCCTTACTGTCCCTTCAAATGGTTAACATGCTTGGCTTCTAACCAAAAGGTTGGAGGATGAGTCCACCCAGAGGCATCTAGGAAGAAAGATCTGGTGATCAACTTCTGAAAAATCAGCCATTGAAAACTCTGTGATGCACGGTTCTACCCTGCATCATATGGGATCACCATGACTCGGAATTGACTCCATGACTACTGGTTACTAAATTCTGATTGGAAGAAAGGAACAATTGGGGATGGGCCAAGTACAGTAAATAGGGAGAGAAATCTGAGCTTATTTTCAATCCTCATCCCCGGCTCTGTCAGTTTCACTTTCATTCTCTATAGACCTTAAACTGAAGTCTCCTATTTGCTTTATTGTGTTATTTCTCCTTTTAATATTTCCCTTGATGGTTATTAATATATATATTTTTAATTTGAGATAATTGCAGACTCATATGCAGTGTTAAGAAATAATTCAGAGAGATCTTGTGTACCCTTATCCTGTTTCCCACAGTGGTAACATCTCAAAATTATAGTGTACTATCACAACTCAAATATTGACATGGATACAATCCACTGATCATATTCAGATTTCCCTGGTACTTGTGGGTGTGTGCAAGCGCATTTAGTTCTATCCACCATTCTCATGTGTGGGTTCATGTATCCACCCTCACAGTCAAGATACAGAAATAATTCCATCACAAAAAGGGTCCTTCATGTAGCCCATTTATAATCACATCTACCTCTCTCATCTACCTATTCTCAGGCAATTAATAGTTTGTTCTCCATTCCTATGATTTTGTGTTTTTAAGACTATTATGTAAATGGAAGCATACATTATGTAACCTTTTGGGATAGGCTTTTTTATTTTCTTTCTTTCTCTCCGGGTAACACTGTTGAGATTCATCTAAGTTGCTGCGTGTAACAATATCATGTTCCTTTTTTTGCTAAGTAGTCTTTTGCAGTGTGGATGTACCACAATTTGTTTAACCACTCACCCTTGAAAAACATCTTGGTTGTCTTCACTTTTTGGCTACTATGAATACATTTGCAATGAAAATTTTCATATAGGTTTTTTTGCGAATGCATAAGTTCATGTCTCTGGGATAAATGCCTAAAAGTACATTTTCTGGGTCATATGGTAACCACATTTTTAGTTTCCTAAGAAAATGCCAGTCTTTTACCAGAAGGGCTGTACCATTTTGCACTCCAAACAGCAATGTATGAGTGATCCAGTTTCTCCACTTCCTCACTATCATTTGGTGTTGTCACTAGATGTTTTATTTTGTTTTGCCATTGTGATAGGTGTGAATGGTAGGAGCATCAAGGGCAGGAGACATAGGGATCTGTCTTGACAGAAGAAACCCTGCCAACTTTTGATTTCTAAATCTAGTCCTGGATAGAGAAAAGAAAGAGCTGGAATTGGATCCATTGCTTATTAGAGTTCTAATGCAGTGAAACTCAGAGCTGGAACTTGACAGGGCTGCCCTGTATTTCTGGGTCTTGCCAGTGTTCAGCCTTTGACAAGGTGCACTCTTACCACTTTTCTGTTGTTCTCTATTAGTGGAAAATACTGGAGTTTTCCTTCTCTGACAAGTTTCTGCTATCCAAACCAAGTGCCATTGAGTCGATTCTGGCACATAGAGACCCTACAGGACAGAGTAGAACTCTACCCCATAGGGTTTCCAAGGCTGTAAATCTTAATGGAAGCAGACTGCCTCATTTGTCTCCTGTGGAATGGCTGGTGGGTTCAAACA